AAACATCTGACTTAGGGTTGTTAAAATGTCAGCCCATGGGCATGTGACAAACCCCACGTTCTGGATTCGTTTGCCAGAGGGAGGAACTGTAAATGGTGTTGGCTAATTTTCCTACCCTGGACTGCCAGCACAAAGTGCTCCTTCAAGGACTGTCAAAATAATATATTTTTTCTTAACCTAGAGTGTCAGAACACTGTGAGCACGTTCTGTACTGCAGTATCTGCAGGTCATGTGGTACATTACACGAGGGATTTCCCAAGCATTGCCAATGCTGCATGCATAGGAGCAGGAGACAAATATTTGCACAGAACCTGGGGGCAGGCTTTGCAGCCTGTGCCGTACTATACAGTCCTGCTTATAACTCTGGACTCCCTTGCATGTTTCTTTCATTATTACCATTATTCATTATTGGGTCATTTCTGCCTCTACAGACTTTTTTTTTTTTTTTTTTTTATTTTTAAGTGTGGACTCCGCATATCAAAGTGTCTTTTGTCAGGAAATTTGTGCTTTGTGGTCTGAACAGTGATTAAACCACAGATGGCACACCTGAAGGCACTCGTGCTTCTGATCTGCTCGCTGCCACCCGTGGCACAGTCCTTGCCTGGTGTCTCTGCTGTGTCCCTCGTGACTGGTCACCAGTTTCTCTTGGCACTGGATCTGTAGCACCTTCAGAGCCAGTATGGGCACATTGGTCTTGGATGAGGGCACAGGGTTACTCACTCCCAGTAAACAATGTTTAATTGTCTGAATGTTTTCTTTTCCTCTAGGAAAGCACTCTGTGTTGTCCATGCTGGGCTGCTGTCTCGCTGCTCTATTTTCTACAATTTCTTAGTTGTTTTTTTTCTTTTTTTTTTTTTTTTTTTTAAAAAATTTTTTTTTTTTTTTTTTTTTTTTTTTTTTTTCAAAAAAAGGCTGCTCTTTCTTACCATACTTCTTGTATGGCCCAGCTTCAGCTAAAGTTGCTTAAAGGCATACAAATGATGTAATGAGGAGATTAAGGAACACAATCACAATTGCTGCATGATCAAAAGCAGCAGTAACAGCCCAGACTTGCAAAGCAGAGTTTGAGATCCATTTGTTCCAGCCAGTGATTGGGAGTGGCTCGTTGGGGAGGGGTATCATTGTTCCTGTGAAAACAAAGGAGCAACAGTGGGGCCACTGGGATGTTTCTGAAAACCAGTTTTTCTCAAAGACTGCGTGTTTTAGGGGAACCTAAGGGTGGCACTGTTACCAAACAAGTTAATACTTCTTTTAAAAGGAGCCTGTGCAGCAGTGTCGGGAGGGAAATTGCTTTAAGAATATTTAATCCATGAATTGAGTAACAGATGACAAGCAAGCTATGGGTGATGCCCATGTGTTAGAAAAACAAATTACCAATTTAGGGACTGATGTGCTTCAGTGCTCTTCGACCAGAGAGAGAAATTTTTCGTTGAGACCTGGCCACAAAGAATGCAGAATTTGTAACCAAAGACACTTAGAGAAATTGGAGATGAAGGAGAAACTAACAAAGAAAATTACTGAGATTCTCTCTACCTGGGAAAAAGAAATAAATAATGAAAAGACTAAATATGTGGATTAATTGGCATTAGAAGCAATAAATAAATAACAATAGGTGATAGAATACTATTTAATGAAGAGAACTATGTAGCTTGTAAGCCAATGAACACTAATTTCTTTGCTCAGATGTATGAATAGTTAAAGGTTTTGATAACTGGCATGTTCTGTGGAGTTATTCACATGTACCCTAAAACCAAATACAACTATGTTGACTTTCTACCTCAACAAATTGGTTAAAGAGTCTATTTTCCAGATTTTGATGGCAGTTTCTGGTACCCCAGATGGGACAAAGAGATGCCAACTCAGTGGACCAGAGGAATTGTCAGCACTCCAGTGCACACCAGAATATTTTCAGGGAGATCTTCCTATTACCTGGTCTGGTGAGTAGACCACTCTGCCCTTTCTGTGAAAAAGAATACAACATTATTTAAGGTACTTTATTTGAAGGTATTTTTCCTGTCCATAAGTTGCACTAATAGTTTGCACTGTGAGACTCAGAGATTTTTCAAACCAGCTTGGGTTTTGGGAAAGATTGTAAAAAGTTGTAAAAGATTGTAAGAAGTTACAGGAAGTTTGTAAAAGGTTTTAAAGATGTTAAAAGGTTTTTTCCTAAGATGGGAAATATGGGAGTGGGGCTATGTTCATAGCTCCCATGAGAAGGGATCCCAAAGGGTTCCCCTTTGGATTGTGTCCTAAGGAATTGGAAAAGGTTGGGGGGTTGGGGGTTTGAGAGGGGTGATCCCCTGACAGGAAAACAACTTGTTGAATCATTGGTGGCCATTAAATAAACTTAATGGTTGTGGAAAGTGACCAGTTAATGGGACTGCAAATTACAAATACCATTTTGCAAATAATGCTGCTTTGTTAAAGGAATGTAATGGACCACCCGCTGTATGCTGTTGGTTTTTCTTTTTTTTTTTAATTTTTTGATTTGTGGAATAATCCTGATTAGTGGAAGGAATGTATGCATATGCCTAGAGATCTGATGGTGTTAGCATTAGAAGAGAAGGGATGGGATACCACCCAAAAGGTGCTGCTCTGGCTGCAGTCCAGGCTGCATCCCCAGTGCCAAGCGTGCAGCTGCAGGCTCCCGTGGCACAATGAGCTGGGCAAGTTTGTCCTGCAGGACTGGTGCAGCTCAGCACTGGGGCTGCTCGGGGAACATCATGTGGAAAGGCTTCACCTCAGAACTGGCCTTGTGCTTTAGGATATTTACTGTTTCACAAGGACAAAGGAGTTTGGTCCAGGAGGGAAAAGATGCTGTCTGTCCAGTCCTGAGCCCCTTTCTAAGAGAGAGCTGAGCCTGACTGCAGGAAGGGATTTCAGGGATTGGAAGATGCTTTAATGACTGCTCCTGCACTGGGATTACTGGGCTTTCTTGGCAGAATTGCTGTCCCGTAGAGCAGAGTGACCATCACGTGTTAAATGCCAGGATAGCTCAGGGTTTGCAGGCAGGATGAGCTGGATGTTCTCCCCAAAAAGCACTGTGAAGATTTCCAGGGAGTTTCTGGGCTTGACAGTACTTGACATATGTTCAGCAGACTCAAATGTCTCTGCTTGCTTCAGGCTTTTACTGTGGAGTAAACAAGAGCCTTCCAGGAAATGTTCTGCAGCTTGGTGAAGCCAGGCCTGAACAGCATTTCAGAGAGCAGCTGATAAAAGAGGTCACTTGAACAGGTGCTCCACAAGCAGTTATAATTATTATTTTTATTTCAAGGCCAGGCTGGATGGGGCTCTAAGCAACCTGGTCTAGCCAAAGGTGTCCCTGCCCATGGCAGTGGGGTTGGAACCCGATGATTTTTAAGGTCCCCTCCAGCCCAAACCATTCTACAATTGCAAGACTGAAGAAAGGTGTAATAGCAGAAGGGAAATAAACTTATATGTAACTTCTTTATTTATTCCATTCCAGTTTATCACTTGCTAATGATACAGTTAATAATGACTAGACAATTTAGGAAGAAGTTTGTGACCTCAAAATCAAGACCCTCATTAAATTCCTTTAAATACAACATTTCTGTGGCTGGTCAAGGTCTGGGGCATCATCAAAGATGTTTTGGTTGTTCAATTTAGTTTTATTCTATCCCTGAAGCTATTTTATCAACCTTCTCTAAAATTTTCTATGGTTGTAATCTCAAGAGCAGTTAGGTTCCTAAACATGTTTGGGACCTAGTCTATGATGGATGGACCTTGTCCAACATTGTCCTTGTTCTTCTTATCTACAAAATAACTGTATTTTCTGTATTTCACAGGAAAGGAGACCAGCATATTAACTAAAGTGGGAATTTGGGTACTTCAGCAGGAAGGGTCATGCAGGCATTTCAGAAAGATGTGACCTGTGCCTTCATATCAGCATGAACATATACATGCAAGTTATTCATGGCTGAAAGAATCATCATGTGATATTTAATGTTGTGCTGCTTTAATGTTTTCAGGTGCTGAATCCTGGTAGAGACAACTCTGATGTAGTTCCACACTCATCCTGACAGCCTAGTCCAAGGTTTTACAGATGGGCCATACCTATTTTCATCCAGTTTCATTAATATTTCTGGATGCTTCAGCATATTTGTATTGACCAGAAGAGACTCAAAAATTCAATCTGAGAAATGGCTTGCATGTTTTAAATGGCCTTACTTCAATTGATCTGGTTTTGACAGCAACATTGGGAATTAATAAGTTATACTATATGAATGCATTAAAAATATGTTTGAGCTTTATTGCAGGGGTAGTATTCTTTCTGCTCCCCTTGTTTGATCTGTTGGTACATATATAATATTTTTCAATTGAAATAGAAGAGCTTGTGACTACCATTTCAGAATTGCTATATATCCCATTCAGAACCAGGCTTTGTTCATTCTATGTATTCTGCAGGGCATTAAGGGCATACTGTCTGTATGTATGCTGTCTCTCATTTACATGCAGATTGTTCCCATAATTTTTTTTTTTAATTCATTCATAATTTATAAATGATTAGCAATTTCCAGAAGTTTGGTGTTAATATTGGGTAGTAATAGACCTATGCAAATATCTTTTATTTTTTTCTGTTTTGAAGACTTCTCTGCCATCCTGAGGAAAATTAGACTAAAGTCAAGTGGAATGAGACTGTATCTGCAGCCACCCTGCCAATCACTAGCCTACAAAATGGCTCAGCACCTTGATCCTGCTGCCTGTGTATTTATGCAAATTGTGATTCTAGTCTTGTGTGCATGTAATGAGTGGGCTTGGAAAACACAAATTATCTGAAGGAGTTGTCAAAAAGAACCATTAGACTATACTAGATCTGAACATAGTTGGAATTTTAGTTGCTTCCCCCCCACCCCGTCCAACCCCCCTTTCTCAATTGATTAAGGAAGTTAATCTGAAATTCTTAAAACCCTGCCCACCTGAATTAGTCTCTGCATGCAACTATGCTGTATTTTTTGCTCTCAGGTGAAACCAGACATCCATCAGTGTCCTGGGAGGGCTGGCTGGGTGTCTTTGCCCTCGGTGGGTGCCTGTGGCTTTTCCTCCGGCACTGGATCCAGCTCGGGCACCTTCTGCCCTGCCTTGGCCACGGTGAACCTGCTCATGTGCAGAGCTTCCTCGTACACTGGAGGGGTGTCTGATGCAGAGAGGGGAGGTGTTCCCTGGGCAGCATTGTGGGAGTGTGCCACAGCAAATATCCTCCTGGCAGCAGGGCCAAACACCGAGTGGAGAGCTGGAAGAGAGGAGACCAAAGCTGTTTGCCTCATCCTGAGAGCATCATGTGGTTAGAGGAGGGTAAGGATACCCATAGGGCATAGCCTCTTCTATTCCCACAGCCAGAATGTTTTTCTTTTCCTGCTCCTTGAGTCTTCCCTAAAAGGAGTATGTGTGTGAAATCCTGCTAGCAGCATCCCACAACTCCTCTCTCCTGAAATGCCACTGAACCCTTATTCCACCCAAACTTGTCTCACAGCTGAGTGCCTTAGTTTGCAGCACGTGCAGAGGTTGTTTTCTCTCCATCCTGCCATGAACTTCCTGTGACATTCATATTCTCTGGACAGAGAGACATAATTGTGTGTCTCGGGATTTCTTGGAGAAGCACAGAGAGAAGAGAAAACAATCTTTGTCTCTGCTCCTTTGTTTTCCCCATGTGGAATTTGGTATGGGGATTGTTTACCTGAAGTGATTGCTGGATTGGATTCTGGTGAAGGTTCTGTGGCTCGGACTCTCAGCAGAGAGTCATGTGTTTTGTGAATTAGTTAGGCAAGTAAGAAGTATATATGTAGAACAGGATAGTCTCTCTTTAAATAGTATATTCATGTAATATAGTATAGTTTTAATAAAGCAGATCCTTCAGCCTTCTGATCTGGAGCCAGACATAATTTCTTCCCGGATCTGGGGTTCGTCACATTTTACTACAACATCCCTCTGTCAGCCTTGGGGTGTCACCAGCTGGGCTTTAGAGTGCAGCCCCCACTTCACAGGGTGTTGAAGTCCCCAGGATGGGGCAAGGCCAACTCACAAGTGATGGTGCTCTGGAGGGTGCTGTCGTGGTCAAACGCAATGACGGTGACCTCGTAGGGTGGGGGGCCCGCCTCGTCCCCTGTCTGATGGCACTGGAAGCAGCACCTCAGGCAGACAGAGACCAGGCCACACAGGAGCAGGAGCCCCCCAATCACCAGCACCAGCCTGCAACGGGAGGGGACACAGAGTTAGGACAGAAAGATTTTTGTTTACAGGATGCCTCTTAATGTCTCTGACTGCTTACAGCATGGTTAACCTCAAAGCTAAACAAAGTCACCTGGGGATTTGTCCAGCTGAGTTTGGACAGTATCCAGGGATGTAGATCCATCATTCCCTCCAGGCACCTGTTCAAGTTCCGCACCATCCTCAGAGGAAGCATTTTTTATCCTATCTAATCAGAATTTTCCTGTCTGCAGTTTTGTCAGCCACCTTATGTGCTTCTACTGAGCACCTCTGAGAAGTCTCTATCTTCTCTCAAGATCCCCCCTGGTTAGTGGAAAACTGCAATTACTTTATCCCCTTAGCTTCCTCCAGGCTGAAGAAACCTGCTTCTTTTTATTGGCTTTCCAGGGGACAGGCTTCAGTTTGCCAACACCCGTTTTGTATTAGGGGACCAAAACTAGATATTCCAGACATCTAGTCATGAGTGACAAGCAGAGAGGAAAAATTGGATCTTACAATCTTCTCACATACCCTTATCAATTCAGCCTTCCAGATGTTCAACAACTACCATCCTTCTTAATCTCATCCTGGTGGGAATAACTAAGAAGTCAAACAGAATTTACTTTAAAAATCAGTCTTTTAAAAGGCATACTGTGCCATGAATACTTTATTAATCATGTTCATATGACTAAATATGTGGAATATAAAAGGAGGCTGGTGGGTCAACTTTTGTTAAAGACAGTGAGATATCTGAGGGGTTGCCTTGCTCTTGCAGAGCTTTAGAGAATCCCAGGGAAAAGGAGGGGGTGGCATCACTCTTGAGCAGGTCACATTTAATCCCACCCTTTGCTACTGGAATTGTCTAGAGATGCAGATATGTAGAGTAAACATGTTATCTTACCAGATATACCACAGATGGTCCCATTCTGTACCTGTACAGCTGAAGAGAAGAGGGTGCAGGAAATCGTTATCCACAGAACACCAAATAAAGGCAAAGATCCCTATGGTATCCTCCTCCCTCTCCCCTCATGCTCCTCACTTCCTGTCCAAATTCCAGATGCCACAATGATGAAAAACTCATTGTGCTATGTGGAGGACCTCATCAATATCCCTGTCAGGTGAATTTCCCTTCTGTTGGCTTTATACCTTGATTGTTTTCCTGATATTTATCCTTGCCCAGTTCCCTTTGCAAACCTTAGAGATCTGCATTCATGTTTGTTTTTTTTCTTTTTTGTCAATATGTAATTTCAGTTATTCTTAAAAATGACATCACTGATAGTAATATTCACCAATGCAGTATATTTCAAACCAATTTTTTCAGGAAAGCTCGATTCTAAATTCATAATCCCAGTCAACTGAAAATACACCAGAAAGCTCTTAACTATTGCAGCAGTGCAAATAGGCAGCAGGAGCAGTACCACGCAATCAGTCTGTTGATCAATAAAAATAGCAATTGATACAGTTCACATTCAAAGTAATGGTGATTTTACATGAATCTTTAATACAACTAAATAAGATTTTGTGGAAAATGTCAACCATCAGGTCATAACACCCATGTCCAGTATTGTCTTTGTTGTTCAGTGTTTTCTCTAAAGAAGAGCAAGATTGACAAATACTTAACAGTTCAGTGTTAAGGCAGCCTTCCTCACCTCTCACGTGGGGGAACTAGAAGGAGAAAAGCAGCAAAGACACAGTGGAAGTGAATTAAATCTTTGTCAAATGCATCTTGCGTATCTTTTATATTATGAGTCTGGATCTCCTTTGGTAACAACGTACTGTTATTTATCTTCCATTGTTTCTATTGTATATTCTGCTGTAGATTTGAAGTTACTCTTACCAACAGCATTGTTTCATATTTTAACTTCCTGTAGTCCTTAAAATCCTATTCAGTACTGTTCTTAACTTCATCGTCACCACAACCTTCCCTTTCTCCACTACAAGCCATGTCATTCTCCAGCTGTGGATCCTTCTCCACGCTCAAATATTAAGAACATTTAAATACCCTGCTTCATATTATACCCACCCTGGCTTGAAAACTGCTCTGTCCCTTCAGCACTCCTACCCTTCTCATTCCTTTGCCTTGGGTACCCTGATGTCTGAGTTTCCATCCCTGGAAGAACAGCAGTTATTATCTCCTCTGTGTGTGCGTTTTAAATGTCCAGTTCTTTCTAGTATCAGGGGAATTATTATTGCTAATGGCCCTCTGTCTTTCCAAGGTAACTCCATAGCTGAGCAGAGACCCCATAAAAAGGAATGTCAAAGATGACTTACCCATAAGAAACCCCCTACAACAAAGCAGATCATGCCTGAGTTATGCATCCCTGTAAGGTGGTTCTGTGGCCTCTTGGTGTTTCAAGCTGCTTGGAGTCTTCTTGTCCTTTCTATTTTCAGTTCATCCTCACCAGTCCAGTGGCCAGGAGAAGGAGCAGCTTCTGTGCTGTGTGTTGAATCCAATGTCTTCCTCCTATTCTGCCCTTCAAGTTTTTGCTTTCTCTCTTTTCCTTTCTGTCCCTGGCAGTTCCTGATTTTTTCTGCCTGTCTCTTTTTGTTATTCTACTTGCCCAGTTCTCTTCCTCTTTTGAAGAGATTTCTACAACCTTCCAGTCAGATCAGAAGAGCAGTGGCTACAGGTTCTTACTTTAGATGTTTAACTACTTCAGTGAAGGGCGTCATGAGATCTCTGCAGGCCTGACCCTTCCCTTCTATGAGCAGAAAGGGTCCCTGAGTTTGTTCATTCCCAATTATTTCTCTCCCCGCCCCTACCCTGAGGGGAGTGGGTTGAAGGTCATGTTACTGACCTTGTTTAAATGGAGTTTTCAGATTCTTCTCCATCCTCCAGTACCTTTTCTGTTCCTGCACTCACATTGTTCTACCTCTGACCACCCAGTCTCCTGACTTAGAAGTGAAAGAATTTGCCATATAATAACTATATTCAGCATTTAATATTTATGAAGTTATATGTATGTGTGTATATGTTGACACATGTGTATATATATGCAACATATATGTATGCATATGCATATATTTTTTTTTTCATATGCAGCAACCCTTTTACCTCTTATTTTAAGGCTCTGCCATCATCCCCCCTACCTGTTCATGTCCTATTACATCACTTCTGCAGCTGAGAGATTGTTCACTCACAGATCCTACTCCCAAACTTCCTGCATGGCCAGCCAAGTCCCCCACTCAATCTCTTACAGCAGAGGGATAACATGTTGATTCTCCTGTCCTGGATACTATTAGTCCTATGACTGGTTATATTCACAGGCTTCATTCAACAACCCATTAATTTTCTCTGTCTTGTAGAGTTGCTTAAAATTTCTGTTAGTGCTCGTGGCTATGCACAGTGTTATTACAGTCATGTAATTGGGTTCTTCTAATCTTTCTCTTGAATAGCTGTGACAGAAAAAAATGCACTGCAGTAATGTGTAACTATTTGTGTTTGGGAACCTCCTGGGACTGGTGCATAAATGTTTGTTGGAGGCAGGATAGCAGCTGGTGAGACTTGTTGCCCCTTGTTGCAATCACAGCCCTTTCACATTAAACTGGTGAATCATTAGCCCTGGTGCTACATTTTAGAGTTGCAGAGCAGAACCAATGGATTCATGAACATAATGTTTTCTCCCAAGGCAGGCTAAAACCCATTTGCCATTCTCTAATTATAAAAGTAGTGGTGCAGTATAAACACGCCTTAGCAGTAGTTTATCCATCCATCCATCCATCCATCCATCCATCCATCCATCCATCCATCCATCCATCCATGTCTGCTGGAAGGAGGCTTCTGATGTAGAAGTAACAAAGAAAGAAAGAAACATGACCTACTCATATTGTATTTATATAGGAATTGATCAACGTCCTTCTTCTAAATTCTTCGGTGCATTAGAGAAGTCTTAGAAGAAAAGACATAGCAGAACTGTAAAATAGTTCTTCTTGTATGCACGACTTTTGAAACTGGTGGGATTCAGTGTGGAAAGGGAGTACAAATCACCAGTGTTTCCAGGGCTTTTTATTATCACTGTGATAATTCAATAGATCTTCACTTGGTTTTAGCTGAAACTCAGTCATATAATAATCTCAAATTCTGGGATGATCCAAATGCAGAAATAGCAGAAAAAGTGAAAAAAAAAAAAAAAAAAATCCCTAAAGAAAAGGCTGCAGTGTGACATGAAACTGTGACCCCTCCAAAAGGATATCATAATTTATTCTTACTGAAACTTATTTATTACTCTTCTTCAATTACTGTGGCATTTCTAGTAACACTTTGCTTCCAGTGTTACCAAAAATAGGTAAAAATACAAACTCCTTGACACCAATGTAGCATTAAGAAGCAGGCATTCTTTATTTGGCTGGATGCATGAGGGGATATCCTCTGGAATGTTGTGCATGATGAGAACAGAAAATGTTCCTATTTAGAGGTTTTATTTTACAGACATATTCATTGATTTTCCTGGAATAAACAATACATTTGATAATCATTTCCCCAGAATCATTAACATATTTTCCCTCCTCTCTGCAGATGTGTTTTTCTGTCCTGGGGGTCTCTTTGGTGGTCCCTGGTGGCTGGTGAACCCAAAGTCAAATCTGACTGCTTGGTGAACTGATAAAAGTTGGCACAGCTGGGCTGGCTCCTCTCCTGGTCTTCTTCCTACAGAATGGGCATGGTGCAGTTCCATAGGCCAGTGGTTTTTCAGGAATGATCATTGCATTACCCACCAGGTGCAAAGAATTCTTAATCTGGCAAATTTTTCCCTTTTAAAGCTTGTGAAACTTGTCTTTAACTGCTCCAGAAGGTGGCCTTTTCCTGCTTATGGGATTGTTTTTAAATAAATTGGACATTGCACTGTTACAGATTCTTCTATTTCAGTCATTCCCACACTAAATACAGAGTTTTGGAGACTAGGTGTCAGGGACTCAGTTCCCCTGAGGGATTTGTTCTGTTCTTTTCCCATTACTTTCCTCCTTACAGGAAGTGGAACTATAACCTGTTGGCTGCTTGTTACCCACCATCCCTCTTGATTCTTAGTGGCTTTTAATATATTTTCTAAACATTGATCCTCACTGTCAGAATTAGCCTTAAATTGTATGAATTTATTTTTTGTGGCACTAACACAAAAAGAAGCTTGGGATGCCTTTTTCAGCTACTCCTCGAGCTGCCTTGTCTGCCAGTTGGTTTCTCACTCTAACATCAGTTTGTCCAGATTGAAGTGCTTTACAATGCATCACTGCCACCTCCTTTGGTTTTTCAACTTTTTTCAGAAGTTGTGAAATTTCTTCTCTGTGTTGAATAGATGATCCTTGAGCCGACAGCAGTCCTCTTTCCTTCCATATGGCTCCAGAGGCATGAATCACAACAAATTAATATATAGGATCAATCCAGATATTCACTCTTCTGCCCACTGCCAAGTTAAATGCTTGTTTTAATGCTATTATCTCTTACTTTTGGTCTGATGTATTGATTGGTAAAGATTGAGCTTCCAATACCTCAGTGGCAGTCACCACTGCATATCTTGCCATCCATTTTCCATCTTTCATGAAACTGCTACCATTTGTGAATAATTCTAAATCAGGACTCTCTACTGGTTTATCCTGCAAATGAGTTCTGCTGGAATATACCTGTACCATGGTTTGGAGCCAATCCTGTGTCAGGGTTCCCTTGCCCATTGCCTTTGGATCAAGGAAAACTGCTGTATTCATGGCTGCTGTTGTCTTTAACTCCAACATCATCCTGTTCCAAGAGCATAACTTGGTATCTGAGCATCCTGCTGGGACAGCCAATGCCCCTCCTTTTGCTCTAATATGGATGTCACCATGTGAGGAACAAAAGCAGTGATGTGCTATCCAGCCTGAGCTTCCTGGCTTGGATCAGTAGAACAGCTGCAGCAATTGCTCGCAAGCATCCTGGCCATCCTCTGCTCACATTGTCCCGCTGGTTAGAGAAATAGTCCACAGGTCTCCTCCAGGTTCCCAACCTCTGCATCAGGACCCCCAGGTCCGCACAAGTTATCTGAGCATCCAATTTTCCCCATAAATCTCTCCTCAACAAGTGGACTGGGCATTAAGGCATATATAGAAACTGATGAGCAGTGCAGTTGTTTCTTAATTTAAATTTCATGGGCTGTAAAAATGACCGAGTTTCACTTTTCCCTGTAGCACCAGTTACATTTATCACATCGTGTACATTTACCACATGTGCCAATTTACGTGTAACAATTTGCAATTTACCAATTTACATTTACCACATCCTTCCTAAGCTTTCCTTTACATGTACTCAATACAGAATAAGTTACCCCTGTGCTTACCAAAAATTTCGCTCTTCTTTCCCCAGCCTCAGGGGTTAAGCTGATGTAGAATCTCCTGTATCCCTTCAATATTTTCCCTCTGTTAGGCAGGGTCCAACTTCCCAGCCCGCGGACCAAGGTGCTTTTTCCTTACCAAGTGTGCTCTGCTTTTCTTCTGATTGTTGTCTGGGAAACGATGGGAGCCTGCTGCCTCCCCTTGTTCCCCTTTTTCCACCTCACCTTCCTCTTGCTCCTTCCCTGTTGGGCGGTCTCTTAGCACCCTCTAGAGTTCCAACTGCGTTCTCGTGGCTCTCGTTTTCCTTTCCAGCCGGTCACATTGCCTTTTCCCTATCTATCCCTGTTGGAAAATGCTTTCCAAACTTCATCTAACAACGTTCCTGAGTCAACACCACTCCACTCCTTCCATTTTCTGGAGTTTGCTTCTAATATCTGGGGCCGACTGTCCTATATAGAAATTATATTTCTATATATAGAAACGAATTCTATCTTTATAGAAACTAAAAAGATAGTTTCTAACTGTACAGCCTCCTCTAGATTCTGAGGATTAGTGTATTTTTTGGCAGTCACCTTCAATCATTTGATGAAAGTCACAGTCCTGTCCTACTTTACCTCACACAGTTTTGACTAATTTGTGGCTTTCAGGATAGCATGCTTTACACCAAATTATCCCCATCTGTGGCACCTTGCTAAATTCTCTCCAGCCCAGGTAAATTAGGGTCCCACCTTGGGTCTGTTGAAGGAAAAATTCTGATGTGCAGTTGCTTCTAAGTCTCCATGAGCATGTGCCTCCTCCACCTGCTTTCTACACCATCTTTTTTTCTGTACTAACCAATGATGTTGACTAATAAATCATCACTTGTATGCAATTTCACTCAGGTTCTTGAGTCCTACTTATGGTTCCTGGTGTAATTCCAGCTGTTTGGGTCAGCCCTGGTTTAGCAGTCACAGGATCACAGGATCATTTGGGTTGGAAAAGGCCTCTGAGACCATCCTGGATCACCACATTATCAACCAGACCATGGCAGTAAGTGCCATGTCCAGTCTTGTTTTAAACACCTCCTGAGACAGTAACTCCACCACCTCCCTGGACAGTTTCTTCCACTCCAACCTCACCAAATTATTTTTATGTTTTTCCACAAGGGATAAGAGCAGTCCCTTGCTTTCTGCCTTCTTTCCCTTTCTCCACTGCTTTACCTTGAACTTTTTAATAAAATTGCCCCCCAGCCAACCTTGCAGACAAATTATGTATGAAATTATCCTGTGAAGTGAGACCAGAAAGGCTTTGGAAAACTCTGTTTTTAAATGTTCCTTCTAAAAGCTGCAGAGAACACAAGCTATTGAAGAAACCAAGCTTTTCCCTTCAGTGACTGACACTGAAGCAGTGCCACATGTTGTGCTAATTCCCTTGATTCAGCTACATAACACAAGGAAAGCAAGAATTAGAGTTGCCTGGCACAATAAGACTAGTGCAAAATAATGAAAAAAAAAGCAGGTTTATATTTTATATAGAGACCAATGAAGTGAGCTTTAAACCCACCCGCCAATTTGAAATGACTGCATCTGCCAATGTCCATGAATCTTGAAAAGTCAGAGCACAGGATCAAACAAATTCACTGTGAGCTCATCCATGAGGGCCATCACAAGGGGAAAAATATACTGTACATATCCAGTTTCATGTTATAGCTTCAGTGGTGTCACTCCTGTGCTTTCTACTGCAGTTCAGACTTACACTAGAAGGAATGCCACACACATAGTGAAATGAAGAAATAGATACAGGGAAACAACTATGGGATGCAGTCAGTTAACTTTTTCCTTGAGTGTGGGAAATGATGCTGATGTTGCTTTTCTTGGGGGCACAGAAAGAAACTCCGACCTGAAAGCAGCAGTTCAATGGGTGCATCAGCTAGTTATTTATGGTTGAGCTATATGTGTCAGATAGCAACAGGTAAAAGCACAGTCCATTTCTCTGGTGATGCAAGGACAATGCTTTCGTAGGTCAGCACAGCCCCCTTTGATTTGTGATCCCCTTCTTGAGTTTCAGTAAACTTGATGCCTCTGAAGTCCTTGCCTATTTAGGACAGAGGGTTTTACTTCATTCTCTTTGTACAAGGTGTACAAGACAAAAAGTAAAGGGCCTCCTGAAGGAAAGGAATTGACTGAAAATGCACAATCTTGCCTATCTGGGTTGTGATGTGGTTGTTTCATGCAGAATGGTCAAGGTCCCCTCTGCTGATAGCAGGATGCTGATCTTGCTTCTTCAGGGAAATTGCTCCCAGAGATTTCTAAACACAGAGGAAAATTACCAACTTTCTGGTCTGAGGTCCCCTGTCTGGAACTTCTGTAACATCTGAAACCAGACTCCAGTCTGGTTTTCCCATGCTCTCATATGGATGCAGATTTGAATTTACCCCTCCCTCCTCTGCAGGGGAAGAGCAGAAGGTAGAGAGCTGGCATCCTATGTGACCTCACAGGGGGATGGCTTGGAGTTTTTGGGCAAATAATAGTTAAGACTCTTGGACAGCACAAACTGCAGACTTCCCTCTGTATTTACACCTATAGATAAAAATAATCTATCTCCTCAGCTACAAAGGTAGTCTCATCCCTTCTGGGAACAAGGATGTGCAAGAAGTCTGATGTCCCAAAAATCTGTGTATACAAATATGTTGCCAGATGGGGAATCAGAGACTATGGAGTACAGGACTCACCTGTCTTTAGGATGAGAGATATGCCCTGTTTTACTAAACATGTGAAGCAGATGGAGTGGGGAATGCTCAGAGCCCCATCCAGCCTGGCCTTGGCACTTCCAGGGATGAGGCAGCCACAGCTTCTCTGGGCACCCTGTGCCAGGGCCTCAGCACTCTTTAAACTGAGTAATTTTCTCCCAGTATCTAATCTCAACCCAGTCCTTATCTGAACTGTTCCTCAAGTTCCTGTTGTGGTCAGCAAAAAGAAATTAGCATTTCTAGAGCACAGTCTGTTATCGATTTCTAAATTAAGTGAGCTGTATGCTTAAAGCCTTTGCCATTCCTGGGCAAAGTCAGCTGAGAGTGACCATGCTGGATCTCCTCTGTACACACCTTGCAGGCTGTTCCCAGTTATCACAAAGGGAGCTTTAGTGTCCCCTTGATGGACACTAAAGTTGGGCAAGATGAATTTGGTGTGTCTGGCTGTTTGTTCTGTGTTTTAAGAATTGGTTGCAAACGCCTGGTTTGCTTTTCAGAAATACTTTGGCTTCTTCTCACCTTGGCCTGGATTTAGATAAAAATGATAATTAGGTAATGGATTTATTCCAAATACATGAATCCTTTCCTGCACATTGAAAAAAAAAATGCAAGAGAACAAAGGACAAAATTGTCCTTTGGGTTACTGAAGTCTGATCTCTGTAAAACATTAGAAATATGACAAGCACTTATAAGCATAAGACAATTTCAGGCCACTTCTTTTTTTTTTCTTTTTCTTCTCTCCATTTGATTGTCTTGTTAGGGTTTTATTCTGTGTCTTACCAGGTCAATATTACGTCTAATTAAAATACACACAGCCTGCTAAAAGTAGGAGTAGGGAAAGGGGGAGAGAGCTAGGACTTCACAGCTCCCTGGCTGGTGTTATGGCAATAAACATCCAATTTCCAAATTAACACCCCGAATTCAACTCTGTCTGTGAAAGGCCGTAACAAGGTGCCATGAACCACTGCTCTGAAGTGAGTAACACCTGATCCTTCTGACTTGAGATTTTTTGACTGAGAAGTTCTGTGCTGATATCCCTATGTTACCTCAGCTGTGCAAACAGGAGAAGGCAACAAAGAGCCAGCTTCTCCTGAATCAAGGACTGAACCTGAGAGCCCTGAACATGAGTCCACTAAAATCCACAGCCTGCAAAATGCTTCTGGCTCACACAAGACAGAATCTGAATTAATACTTTAAATGCTGAGTGGTTTTCCTGCTAAAACCTTTGTTTCTGCAGGAGATGGATAGATGGGAAATAGAAATTTCCTCAGCTTCTCTGATACTCACTGAATGCCTCAAAGCTCAATCTGCTGTGTGGGCAGTCAGAGAATATTTCGAAGAGATAAAGCAGATATCTCAGAAAATTTATAAGCTTTAGTGTAGGGAGTAACCATAGCAAACAAAGTGTTTGCAAAGGCCCAGCCTCGTGATTTCTCCCAATGGGCTCAAGTGGGAGAAAACATTCTCACCTAATCCCCTCAGCTGAGCTCCTAATTTCTGAGAAGCACTTAGAGACAGGTGCCTGGGGAAACAGTGATGCCAGGCAGAGCATTGGGCAGCCAGCAGCCTGTTTTATCCATGTTTATGCCTTTGGATGCCAGGCTGAATAATTCAACTGGCCTGGTGCTCATTTGACTCATTTGCTAATGGCTTCAGTCAATGCCAATGCAAGTTAGTTCAGAAAGAAGCTTTGCACAAGACAGGGCTGAAATTAGACATCCAGGTAGGAATAATTCAAGATAACTAAAATATGTGTTCTGCCAGTAATCTGTCAGACAGCTGTCTCAGTAACCTTGGTGGCTGGCTGGATATCTCTTGGTGCCTGAACTGAAGTCAGTGAGAAGGAGATTTATTTTCTTTCTGGAGGCAGAGATAGACCTGCCCTGGATGGATGAAGGGAGACCACTATTCAGATTATGTGGGAAGAGAATTAAGGTTATTTGGACTGAGTACTTAAAGGGCTGGTCAGCCTGAGTTGCTGAATTATAGGGGATGGTCTCCAAATAAAGGAGGAACAGATCTGTATTTCCATTGGATCAAATGAACATGAGGGCTTTTTTTAATTTTTCATTTCATAGGCTTTGGAAGATGCTTCTGCTATGGAAATCTGCCTAGTGCATGTCATCAGTCAGCTTTTCAAAAAGCTTTTATTGCATTTCAGACAAGCAAGAAAACAAATGAAGCCCCCTTAAAGCAAACAGAACTTAATAGCAAAACCACCCTCCAGAGCAAGGAATCTGGATTGCTGAGTCTTTTTTCACTGTGGTGCCTTTTGCTCTAATATGAAAGAAGTAGTAACTCAGAGATTGGTATTTCTGCTCTTTAATATTTAATTTTGTTTTTTTTCTTCTTTTTCAAATGAACCCACTTACCCTGTATGAAACATTTTTCTCTTAGTTCCCTGTAAATTCTGACTTGTGCAACTATCCTAAGCTTACATTGATGTGGGATGTTTCCCTTTTAAAGATACCAATCTAAGCCCACCAGACTCTGCTTCTAAAAGCATTCATAGCTGTCAAGTCTAATACAAGTCAAGTGACTGATCTTGTAGCTAGCAGCATCCTCCAGAAGATAACACAGGACTTAGGTCCTAAAGGCTTTTTGTTCTTTTCAAGCAGAAAATCCTCCTGCCTATGATCCCATGCTACAGGGCACCATCATTTATATTTTCAGTGTAT